CCCGCGCCCCCGTTGGGGGGGGGGGGGGGAACGAGACGACGACATGCTCTAATCCTGGGGCAGGAGCAAGCGCACAGACCTGCTGCTACTGGTGGGCAGCGCTTGCTCCCATACGCTATCCAGAGACACACTGCACCAAGCCAGGACTGCTTTACACACACTAGCCCCAGGTGGCTCTTTGGCTGGGTCAGTGGGGCTAGGTCACCCTAGCAGCTACTGCTTCAGAACAGGTTGGCCACCATGGCATGCTGGTGTATACAGCGCACTAATGCTGTATACCCTCAGTGATGTACTCCCTACAGTCTGCTAAATAAATCTTTTTTAACAAAGGGGCAAGTTGATTTATATTTCTACTCTTGTCAATGATTTAGCCCTGGAGCTAAATGCTATTAGCACCCACCTTAAATTATTTTTTTATATAAACCTGTAGGGAAGTCACATAGAACGAGAAAATGCTTCTCAGCCACACCACTAAATGCAATTTAGCTTTGACCCATTCATTTACAGCAATAAAAACACTGTACCAGAAGTTAGAACACAACTGACCCAAGCTGTGCTGTTGGCCTTGGTGCACATAATTTATTCTGGACATGGATGGAGCTGCTTTGCCAGAACAGTGACGGTCCTGGGCTGAGACAGATCTGCTATGTGACCAGCATGCACCAGCTTAATCCCTGTAAGTGACGATTAGAGAAGCACCACACTGCTGGGGGGGGGGTGTTCCAGGAACTGGCTCAGTTCCTCTTCTTGGCCCAGTGCTGCATCATCATGCAGCTGTACAAAGCCATGGGATGCCCACATCATGTATACTGCAGCCAGCTGTGGTTCCCTCAGCATCTCAGCCATATTGGCAGTGAAAAAGGTTGATTGGAAAGGGTTCCATATAAAGCGCGATTAAGACTGGGCCTTACCAGAGGCAATTACAGGGGAATATGCACAAGGGCTACAAATCATCAGTGGTGTGGAAAAAGTGAATAAAGAAAAGTTATTTACTTTTTTCCCAAAACAGAACTAGGCATCACCAAAGGAAATTAACAGGGACCAGGTTTAAAACAAACAAAAGGCAGGTGCTATTCAGTCATTGCCGAGTCAGGCTATGGCTCACCATGACAGCCAGGACTTCACCAGGGTTCAAAAAAAGAGCTTGGCGGTTGGGTCCATCAATGGCTATTAGAGGCAAGGGCCACCATCCTGGCTGTTTGCCAGAGGCTGGCAATGGACTCCCCCCATCTGTTCGCGCCCTCTAGAGTACCTGGCATTGGTCCCCATCAGCAGACAGGATACTGGGCTAAATGGACTGAGCATGGCTGGTCTGTTTGAGGCCAGTTTTCCCCACCATGGTGCACAGGGACGGACCAGAAACTTCCCCAGCGGTAGCGCTAAGAACTGCTCTACCATGGAGAAATTTTTGAGCCATGTCAAGTATCTCCAGGCTATGTCTGCACTCCAGGCTGCTTGCACAAGAACTGTTTTGTGCCAGCGTTCTTGTGCAAAAGGTCTTCCACAAAAGAGCAGCAAAAAAGGGGGGGGGGGAGGAACTGAACAGGGCAGCCAACCTTGATGGAGAGGGGAGGCTGGGTCACCTCATGCCCTACCCCACCCCCTTTCCCCCAGTTTGGGAACCCATGCTCTGACAGAATGCCACCAGAAAGGGGGTAGGGTCCTGGGCTTAGAGTCTTTCCCGCTTAAGATGTTCTCAAGGCACCAGGACCCCATGAAATGCATCCTTGAATTAACAAGGAGCTGCCTGAAGAAAGAGCCGCTGGTTAATATTTTTGAAAAAGCATGAGACAGAAGAACGGGCAATATAGTGCTACCGCCCGAGAGAGAAAGGACCGCTCAATTACAGACCACACAGCTTCTCTTGTGCCACAAAAGATAAATGGGGCAAGTTAAGGAATCCAGTTGCAACATCTGGAAAGAGGGAAGGAGTAGTCAGGGCTACTTGTAACAATTCACTGCAGGCCCACCGGATAGTTTTGATAGTAACAAGCCTCCTGGAGAAGGGTGAGTAAGTGGACGTACAGCTGGCTAGTTCTAGTTTATGGAAAATTAGCGCTAACACCACAGGGGCCGTCTGTTTGGCATGGAAGCCGTTCCCCATGCTCTAGTTCAATGATCACCCCCAGGATCTACTGGTAGTTGAGGAGCTGTGACAGCTGAGCCTGACTGGTTTGGCTAAAGGGTTATCCAATGCAGCACTCCAGCTACCCCACACCACCCTGCTGCACATCTCCTGCCCTTTGCTTTGGAGCTGCCTCTTCCTCCCCAAGCCGCCTGCTTGCTGGGCAGGAGAGGAAGGGTGCTGATGTCAGGGTGCCCCCTCTCTGACCCTGTATCCTATCTCCACAGAGCAGAGGGGGTACAGCACGGCT